ACAGAGCAAGAACGCTCTGAAATAATAGGAAGACAATGGCCACAGAGCTTCCTTCAGACAGATGTTGTGCCACAGAGTGTACATGTGGTGAGGAATAAGGCTTCAGTTCTATGCACAGGATTACTCAGTAGCAGGAAGTCCTGGTGAGCTCAGTGAAGCTTACTTCTGAGTAACATTCCTGAGGGGTCAGATTCTTCTGCGTTTCATTTTTGTGTGGATTTGGTGCTGCTCATGCATAAAAGGTTTTTCACAGCATCCAGGAAAAAAACCTGGATGTACTCTTCCAAAATATAGGATAAAAAACAAATAAAATAAAACCTACATACAGTTAGAGCTTAATAATTATTTCACTATTAATATACTTCATCTTAATTGTATCTCACTATTAACATATTTCTTAATTGTATTTCAGTTCAACAATTACTTTGATAAAATACATATTTTGTTATGTGCAAATGGCTTCAGATACCTGTTTGGTCCATAAATTACCATATAGCATATAATCAACACAAAATACACCGACAATTTGTTGTTGACAAAGGACAGCTGGACATATAAAGGGCCCCATTACCTTTAGTAGTTTAGTCCTCATCAAACCTAAATCTGGCCCTGGGAATAGATATTTTTGTGTCTCCATGTATGCTTTTCTTGTTTTGATTCTTAAAACAGAGCAAATATTACAGAACTGCTCCCTCAAGCAAAGGAAACCAAACCCAAGTACCATTGCACCCAGAGCTTCTCGTCAAATGTGTTAATCCTCAAGACCACCATTATGTGTTGGGGGGGGCAGTGAGGAAGAACATTATTTCCAAACTTCGAATATAGTGACCAGTGACTTGAACACAAAGGCAAAGGTCATGGTGACAAGGCCTCTCAACTCTTATGTCAACCAAGCTGCAGCGTACCCCACCCCCAGCCAAAATGAAGCAGTAGCTTGGGCCAAATTATGTAGGAGCTTCCTCTTGTGAATTCACTGGTCTCTGGATTGGCTCCATCATCAGCACACGCTTAGCGCTTCTGACATCCCCTTTGAATCTGTGTCCATCTATGAGAGCTTCGATTACAGGGGATATTCTCCTCCTGCCTCCGCCTTGCCATTGCTGCAATGAGCGCAGCACCACACAGAAAAAGGGCTGGAGGCACATCTGTATTAGGAGTCAGGAAGGTAATGTTGCGGCTCCAACTCTTACAAAAACGAATGCAATCATTGATGACAAGGAAATTGCTCAAAAAGGTGAGTAAATGGTGCTTAGAGAGCAAGGGGGGGGGGAAATCCCACTAAAGTGCAATCGGTGGCTAAGGCAGAGCATCTCGTAGTCCGTGTCTTAACACATTGTTCTTTGCTGGTATTTTGTAACTGTAGTTGCTATTGAGAAATCAATTTATTGTGCTCCAGGCAGAGTAATACCATATGTTTGGAGGGACTGCACTCTTGAATGAACATAGAAAGCCAGTGAGGATGACAAATGGGAAAACTGTGGTTTAAACTAAGTGGCAAGAAATTTCCAATAGTTTGGCTGGCTTGCAGTGGTTGCTCATTTTGGCAGTCATGACAAGAAAGCTATTTTCTAGGCCAAACTGTGTGTTACACACAGTTGTGTGTTTCTCTACCTTGACAGGATTTTTTCCTCCACTGAAAAGCAGCCCTGGAAGCATCAGTAAAGAATAGCAGAGAGACTGCATAATCCTTTCCTACCATTTGTCAAAATTACCCCTCCCCTCAGCTACTTTTCCCACCCACTGGGGAAAAGATATGGGATTCTGTACCTTTATCGCCATCATTGAGGGGAAAGAAGCACAAAACAGTGTGTGAAATGTAGTTAGCCATAGTCCTGTAACTGGCCATGTAAGATGGCGGGTCAGAGCTGATGGGTCTAATTTTAATAAGTGTACCTCTTGCAGAAAAACATGCATGAAAAAAAAATGAAATCACTTCCATATAATGGTGGTTTGAGTCACACCCTGTAGTCATTAAAAGTGGCCAGTGAGGAGTGCATATAGAAATCTACATAGTTGGTACTGATGCTGATGCACCCTGTTTTGCTGTACAGCACTGAGTTAGGTGGCCTTGTGGACCTTTTTAGCTATGTGATTTTATGGCATGAAAAATTCTGCAAAACTGGTTTTTAATCACTGGAATAATATGAGGGGAGGGGGAGGGAAAAAATCCAATCTCCTGCCCGTTGTTATACTTTATCTGATTGCAAAATGTGTAAAACTTTTTAGAAAAAACCGAATAAAGGCCAGGCTTCTAGATGAAATCCTCCTTTCTCTAATGGGTTCCCAGAAGAAGGAGGCTCTTATTTCTCTTTCTCCCTTCTCTTGTATACATTCTCAATTTTTAGCATAAACTCCTACAGCAATAGTTAATAATTTTGCAAATTTGCAGCTTTAAATAAGACCTTTGGGTCTGTTGTTCAGATACGTGTTGCCTACCGTATCTCCACCGTTGCTTTCACATGCTGACCCACACAACCCTTTTCAGAATGCTTGCATAATGAAAGAGGCCAAATTCATCACTCATTGGCCTGTTTTGCTCGGCTGCAGCGTGTTTTGCATGCATATGTATAACTTGCAGTAGAACTGTAGCCACTGATGTCTCAGTGGATTCGATCTCATGCTTATCTATCATTGTATCATTAAATTGTTCCTATGGGGGCCTACGGTATTGCTCTTTTTTCTTTTTTAAAAATGCTTTCTATGCTGATGTTTTCACAAGGGAACTGGGACCTTTTAATCCAGTTAAAATTAATAGGAATTGGGCAACCAAGTTCCTTACCTCTGGAAAAAATATCTCAGCAATGTACATTGATTCCTACTTAGTTCCGCCAAACAACTCACTGTCCTGGAACAGTTGACTCAGTTCATTGAGTTGGAACCATGACTCTCCATTGCTGTCTTGTTTGGACCCCATAATTGGTTAGAAGGATTTTCATTTTAACCAGAGCACTCAAGCAGAACACTTGCACTAATCTGCTTTTTAAAAAATAAGATAAACCCACCCCACAACAGCACATCTTTTGTCTGCTCAATACTCTTCTCAATACTGTATATACCATCTACTAAAGGTCAGGTAAATAAGAACAACACTGATGAAAGGGTTAAGGTCTCCACTGTGGTGTGCAGGACACCAAGGGTGAAGGACATCGGTTTCCTAGAAATGGGTCTCTTGAGATGAGCCCATGCTTCAGTGGCATCACGTTGGAGGCCAAAGTCAACAACGATACATGTGACTGGTGAACTGTGGAAGATCTGAAGCTGGAGCAGGGGGTGGCTGCCAGCTCTGCAAACTGTGTTAATGAGCACATGACCGGAAATGAAAGGTTATTATGTACAAATGTATTGTTGGCTGTTTCCCAACTTTATTCAGATATATCTCATAGAATCATAGAACTGCCGAGTTGGAAAGGACCCTGAAGGTCACCTAGTACAATCCCCGACATTGCAGGAATCTCAGCTAAAGTGCCCATGACAGATGGCCATCGAACCTCTGCTTAAAAACCTCCAAGGAAGGAGAGCCCACAACCTCCTGAGGGCCACATTCCATTCCTGGCAACCACTTGGAGTCCAAATCTCAGTGGTGGGTGGGGCCAGAAGCAAAGTGGGTGGTGCTAAAGACACAATTTTACCTTTGTACAACAGGGCTATTACGTACACAAACGCAAGCACCCCTTTCTGTCTTCTAACCAGGCTAGCAAGAAGCGTTATCCGATGTATTCCAGCCAGGGGAAAAAACTTGAAGATGCAAAGCAGGGATGGTAAGGGTCTGGCTCAGTAGAGTGTGTGGTGTAGGGGAACTCCCAAGGGCCAGATAGAGAGGTCTGGAGGTCCCATCTCCCCTCCCCACCCAGGTCTGAGGTTCCCCATCCTTGCTATAAAAGTTTATTCCCCCACTCCCATCATATCTTAGGAAGGAAGAGCTTTTTCACTATGAGGGGCTATTTCTTGTCTTACCATTTCAGTCACACTTTTATCTATGAGCTTTATAGTGATACAAAATGAAGAGAGGTTTTGAAATGTTTTATACTTACCTCCAGATTCACATCATTGGTGTGTGCTCTTAAGATGAGCTGAAACAATGTGCAGTATACAGTACGTGTGTTTGGGGGGAAAACAACAGCCTATCAGCAGCATTACTCCTTTGGGTTGAGGGTATGTGATTTATCAGATGCAGCGGTGCACACTGGATGGCAGCAGACAAGCACACCACATTTACACTGGTGTTGCATGGGGATGACGACACATAAAATGTGACTTTTGAAACATACACCACCAACCTCTCAAGGACACTACAACATAATTGTTCAGGGAAGCAGCTCTATGTGACCAACTGCTTTGGTTGAAATGGTTCCCCACGTGAGTTCTGGAAATTTAATCACATGACGCTACTGATCATCGCCATCACGGCCACTCCCATGGCAATTTGCAATGTGATTGTTACATTTTATTAAATGCATCATTTTAGTGTACTTTGTTGTGTTGGTGAGTTAATTTGCATATACCTTGTAGAACGGTGACCCAAGCAAATGTCTGGAACAGACTCTTGAGGGCTGAAGCACACAAATACTCAAGATGACAGCCTCCAAGGTCCCAGGTTTACAGACACTGCAAGCTTCACTCATGACTCATTGGTCGTCACCTCTTTTGCTTCATAGATCTGAAACCTTGCTGACTCAGCCCTGTAACCTGACAAATTCTGAATGCCTTTTCCAAATTCAGATTAAATTCTTGCACAACACACACACACACACACACACACACACACACTTTTTTTTACTAGTGGCAAATGCAATTTGATCTCTGATAAAAGAATGTGTAAGATGGTCACAGTTGAAAATTTGATCTATGGTTTCAGTTCCAACACTCAAGTTTCCTGAATGGAATTCCATATGTTCAAATGCCTCATTAACTTTTAACAAATAATGGTCCCCTTTTCTCCTTAAAAACATCACTTTTCTTCCTCCGCTTATGATCTTACAGTCGGATCTTTAATATTTGCTGCACCAACAACACATAAGGGCTTACAAGAACAGTCTGTACCAAAAGCTACACACGCAAACATGCCAATACAAATTCTTAGCAGCCTCGTGAAAATGATCTCAAAGCAATTACATCTTGCAGGGCCAGCTACAGTTTAAAATACAACCATATTTTTGTACACATTTTTCCCATTACGACCACATGCTTTCATGAACAAGTCAAACACCTGCTTGAATTGCTGCCAGTTTTCTGCTGCATTGTTTGATATCTTCAACGAGACTTGAAACACCACATAATTCTTTAAACAAACACCGCATACTTTTCCAGCTTTGCTCCAGAGTCTAAATTTCACTTTCTCAGTTCAGCCTTGTTCTTGCTTCATATACAATGCAGTCAAAGTTAAGCACTCTTAAGTCCTGTTGATTACAACGGGACATGTTTCACTCACTCCAAATCAGCTGGATTATAGAATGCTTAACTTTGGCTCTAACATCTCCCTTCCGCCCATCAGCAACTCCTACATTTTGCACCAGCCACTCCTGATATATGCTTGGCTTCACAAAGAAGAGATAAAAAATCTCCATGGCAACTAGATGTTTAAGTTACAAAGCTGTTTCCAAGAGTATTGACTCTTGCGCAGTGTGATCCTAAGCATTCTTACTCAGAAGAAAGTCCTTCAGAATTCAAGGGGATTTAAGATGCAATCGAATACTCACCAGTTTGGGAGTATGTGAAGACGTAAGAAGAATTTAAGAAGAATCTGCTGGGTCAGACCAATGGCCCATCTAGTCCAGCATCTTGTTCTCACAGTGGCCAACCAAATGCTCATGGCAAATCTGTAAACAGGACCCAAGCACAAGAGCCCTTTCCCCTCCTGTGGTTTCCAGCAACTAACATTTGTCTAACCCTCTTAAAGCTATCTAGGTTGGTGGCTATCGTTGCTTCCCCTGGGAGCAAGTTACATAATTTAACTGATGGCTGGGAGGAAAGCACTTTCTTTTATCTGAACTGAATCTTCCAACATTCATCCTCACTGGATGCCCACAAGACTTAGTGTTATGAGAGAGTCAGCTGTTGAAAGAGAACCTTCCCCCACCACAGAGGTCAACTTTGACAAGGGTTGGAAACTCACACCTATCAGGTTCCTGACATCATCATGACATCAGGTGACTGATATGTCAGTGCTTCCACCAACCTATCCATAGTTGGCCTTTGGGCTTGGGGAAGGCCCACCAGACCATAGTTCCCCACTCCCAATCTAGGAAAGCTGATAAACGCCTCCAATGATTTCAATATATTGCTATTTTTCAAAAATATCTGACTCACGCCCATTCACAGTTTCACACAGAAACTCCCACAATGTATATATACAGTGGTACCTTGGGTTACACACTCTTCAGGTTACAGATGCTTCATGTTACAGACTCCACTAACCCAGAAATAGTACCTCGGGTTAAGAACTTTACCTCAGGATGAGAACAGAAATTGCACGGCGGTGTGGCAGCAGCGGGAGGCCCCATTAGCTAAAGTGGTACCTCAGGTTAAGAACAGTTTCAGGTTAAGAACGGACCTCCGGAACAAATTAAGTTCTTAACCTGTGGTACCACTGTACTCTGTAAGAAATGGCCCTGTGCAATTAGCTATCAAGAAGGGACTGGAGCATTCACTGGCATCTGACCAAGTGAAAGAATATAGCAGCATTGTTCAGAATCCTTCTCGTTCAGTACTTACCCTTGAGGGCTTAGTCCTTGAGCTGGGACAAACATGCTCAAGAGCTCTTCATTCAATAGAATCATGCTGTGACTATATGCACACACATCTTAGCACCTTTCAGTATGGGTTCTTTGAAGGCTTTATACATGTAAATGTGTAGGATATGATGTGCATACATGTGTGTGTTTGTAAATAGATTCAAGGAATGGGGAAGGTTGAAGATGAGGGTCAGACATTTGGATCAGGAGGACAGATCTTAAGAACGCAGCCTCGTGATTTTCTGATTGTGGATTGTTGTGGAAATGGGATGCTATGAGCGTATGAGTGAACAGATGAGAAATGGACAGGGAAAAGAAACAGACTGATCTGCCCATCCATACAAGTATTCAGCCTGCTACTAACAAATGTGTTCTTCATCTGCAATAGGTAGTACTGAAGGTGGAGAGAAAGCATCTATTTACAAAGAAATGTAACCAAAAAGAATCTAACACTTCAGCCTTTTCTCCTGGCTTGTCTGTCAATGTTTGGAAAGTGTGCTTTCCATGACTGTTGTTTGAGCAATCAAAAATGATGGTGTCATTCCCCCAAATATCTTGATGCTAGCAGCAACTGAAAGAATGAACTGGAGCTGCAAAAAAGTGCAGAGCACGTTCTTGGTACAGAGAAAAACAATGGTCCAGATGGGAAGGGGAGGCAATTAACCACTCCCAGGTGTCTTAACTCAGCAGTGTTGCATCATCATCCATCACAACTTTATCGGCGCAATCAGCTCCAGTGATCTAGCACTGCTCTGAAGGGCAAATGTGAGCATGCCGGCAAAAGGTGTACAGTTGTATCATTGAGAGATCATACTAGCAAGGGACAAGGCATATGCAGCATAAAGCTTCCCACTGACCCTCTGTGGAGGCTAGAATCTTTGCTGCAGCATTGCTTCAGGATTGAAAGTCCACCATGGGTGGCCAAGAGTACAGGGCTGAAGTTGTGCTAAATTTATACCAGGAGGTGTTGCACAGGGCTTGGCCCTACTATTAAACATATAAGGCAACCGCCTCAGGCAGACAGAGAGCAATGGTGAGGTGTTGGAGGAGATAGAACTGGGTGTGCTACAGGACCTGTTCTTAGTGATGGAAGGAACTGTCCGTTTCAATTCTCTCTGTTTCCCATTTTTCTAATCTTAATTTCAGTTCTGCGTGTTTTACAGCCATTCGTGATCTTTTTTAAAAAAAATAAGAAATCCTCATAAAAATGAATTAGCATTCTAGTGTGAAATTTTGCCTTATAAATACATTTTTTGAAGTTTTGACTAATTTACACATTTTTGCAAGCAATTCCCCTTAATAGAATGCAGTTTGTATGCTATTTTTAGTGCATGTTTTCCTAGTACGCATATGCCTTTTTGTAAACATTGTTTGGTTGGAGAACTGCATCGCAAAATTAGGGTAGCTGCAAACTTAGAAGGATGGCTGTGTTTTGGTTTGTTTCAGAAAGTGCAAACTGGAAAGATTTGCTTTTCAGTGCAAACTAAATCAGATTTCTCTCCCAGGTTGTTCTGCAACCCCTAAACCAGCCTGCTCTCCTCAGATGCCAGTGCTGAACTGAGATTCAGCTCCCAATCCAGTTGCCTTCTAGATGTGAAACAGGAAGAGCATTTTGTCCTTTGCCTCAAGCAGCAAAATATCTTGGGTTGGCCCTGTAAGATGTGCAGATGATATGGTTCCTTTCCTTACCTACTTGAGGACTAGCAGCATTAAACCACAGAGCCTAGGGTTTGCTGATCAGAAGGTCAGCGGTTCGAATCCCTGTGAAGGGGTGAGCTCCCGTGGCTTGGTCCCTGCTCCTGCCAACCTATCAGTTCGAAAGCACATCAAAGTGCAAGCAGATAAATAGGTACCGCTCAGGCAGGAAGGTAAATGGCGTTTCCGTGTGTTGCTCTGGTTCGCCAGAAGCGGCTTAGTCATGCTGGCCACATGACCTGGAAGCTGTACACTGGCTCCCTCGGCTGATAAAGCAAGATGAGCGTCGCAACCCCAAAGTCGGTCACAACTGGACCTAATGGTCAGGGGTCCCTTTGCCTTTACCTTACAGTCACATTGTCTGTCCATTCAACCATATATTATTGTTACAAACGTTTCCCCTGTGGCAGGGAGCTTTGCCACATAAACATGGCACAACGGCAACGCAAGAATTGTATGAGAGCTTCTGTCTAGCACTATTATTCCATAAGCTTGGTGTGCCGAAGAGTTTTCCATTCTTGCCCCTGAATTTCACTATTCTCCCAGGCCTTCTCAGCTTCGCAGTCATGATTTAAAGTTTCTATAAAGAAAACATGTACACCAAATCCGAGTAAAAAAACCATTATCAATATGAAGTTACAGGAACATTAGATGTTAATTGTTTGTTGTTATATGACTCTTGCCACCAGACTGTAGTCTAGAAAATTTGATCCCGCACAGTGCATTGCATATCATAATACATTGGCAGGGCTCCCAAAACAAGAAGACCCACCCAGAATTCCTGTGGTTTCTAGGCCTTTAGCACAAACTGCCTACATGTTTTCCCCTGGAACTTGAATGGCTATAAACTCATCCTAGAGAGAGAGAGAGAGAGAATATTCCTTGTTTCTGCATCAGCGAGGACCTGCTGCAAGGTCAGTTATGCAATGTCTTTACACAGACTGATACCCTCTGAAAAACTGGTTGTATATCAGCTAAGCGCTGATGTGCAAATGATCAGCAACAGCCAAATAACATGCCAGAGGTTTAGAAGAGTGCTGGAATCAAATCATTCTGTACTACATCTGTGATGGTTTACAGCAGAGGTCCCCAACCTTCTGGTACATGGGGGCCACATTAGAAGGTCTATGGCCTGAAGAGGGCCACAAGTTGAATCAAAACGTGACTTCACATTATTGGCCTGCTAATGAAGGTCAAGAGCAGAAAGTCACAGGTAAATGAAGAGATGTTAACCTGAAAATCCATTTTGGAACAATATTTAAGCACTGTAAGTTCTTATCTAGGCACACAGGCTTACCTAGTCAGTGTGAGTTCTGTGTCTGTTTTCTGTTAGCCAAAGCCAGGTCAAGATTTGTGCAAATGATCAGTACAATGTGACTTGGTGACTGAATCTTAATTGGCCTGAATCAGAAAGAAAGTGGAGCATGTGGCTTTTAATCTCAGTGTTGTGGGTTTGAACCCCACATTGGGCAGGGGGGTTGGACTACATGATCCTCACGGTCCCTTCCAACTCTACAATTCTATTATTCTACTTGAGGTGCAGGTGAAACTGAACTGGAATTGAACCACAAAAATGCAATAATTGAACTCCCTGGTGTGAAAACCAGGAAAAAGCAGTGCTCATATGCTGCTAACAAGAATTGGGGGTGAGGGGCCATATTGTGCCCATACTGAAACTGTTTCACTAACTTGTCTGGGTACAGAAGGCTCTTTCAAAGGAGCTTTGTGCCTACTCTGGTGCCATTTCAACTCCATAAAAAGACCTTTTCATTTTCCTGCCCTTTCTTTGTAATCTGTTTGTACCTACTGTGTTTTCACCCGTTCCTCTTTCTGCCACATTTGGGTTTGATGTTGTACGTTATTGCTTTGCTTCTCGTTTTGTCAAGTGCTGTGGAACTGTCAACTGTGGAAGGACGGTTCAGATAAAATAAATAACCTTTGCAGCTGCATTGACAGAGATGTTATGCCTGCAGAAATGTATGTACACATGTTCTTAAAGGCACAAGTGCAGACACACACCATTCATTTGCAGTGCCTGGAAAAGCAACCTCTGTCTTCTGCTTTGAAGGCTCTTTCTCCTCCAGCCCTGCCTCTCCCTCCCTCCCCTCTCTGCAAGGCATTTAGGAATGCAACTGGGTATGAAATTATGGCATATGCAAATACAAAGCAGTGTGGTGTTTGAAACCACTCCAGTATCTTTCTATGGACATCTTGTTCCCTCTCTGTTTATGTCCTTGGAGGGATCAGGTTTCCTTGTTTACAATCCATCCAAAGTAGGAACTGGAATTCCTGAAGAGCAGCAAAACAAGTGCATGTGACTTAGCTTATTTCTAGGAAAAGAGGAAGAGGTTCCAGAAAGAGAAGGCGCTGCTTCATCCTCCTCTTCAGCACAATATACCCTAATAAGAGAGCCCTTGAAACATCATCCCTGTGCAGTTTTCAAAGCCTGTTCTAGCAGAAAAGGTGTTATGTAAAATGCCCTTGTTTCTGACACGTTCTTTTACAATGGGGGGGGGGGGCTTGTTTTGCAGCAAATTCAGAGAATACAATGAGTTGAGGGACAACTTGTGCCATATCGTGCCAAAATGGGCACATGGAGTGGCCATTCCTACTTAGAAAAACAAGCAATGGTGTCAATATGAGGAAGGAAAGAAACCACAGAAACCGCCTGATTTCTAAGCAGTAATGCAGAATCCAGTAAAAATGTGCACCTCCTCTCTGTGCTGGGACAATCCTGCCGTGAGTCTTGGATTTGATGCTGGCTCAAGGACATTTGTCATGGCTGCATACAGGGTTGAGGATCAAAACATCTAGTGTACGTATTATGTACTTAAAGCACATAGGAAATCTATTCCCCCAACTCAAAGAATTCTGGGTAATGCTGTTCCTTAAGGGTTGCTAGGACTTGTATCTTTGTGGTGGGCAACCAGAATTCTTTGAGCGGTCAAATGTGCTTCAAATGTGCTTAAAGGTATAGTGTGTACAAAGCTTGCCTGGATGCAGGATGGAGAGATGGGTGGACGTAGATACCTCTAATGCAGAGTTTCCCAAACTTAGGTCTTCAGCTGTTTTTGGACTACTGTTCCCATCATCCCTGACTACTGGTCCTGCTAGCCAGGGATGATGGTTGTAGCCCCAAAACAGCTGGAGTCTGGGAAACCCTGCTGTAATGTATGAATGGCTGGCATGCAAAGGTAAAACTCACATCCATTTTTGCATCTTCTTTTTAACCTCTGTACCAACTCACCTCTGATATGTGTCTTTCTGAAGTTTGTTGAGAAGGGAATGCAGCCTTCTGGTTGAAAACGGTCCCCCTACCTTCCAAATGCAGTTGTGGGGTTCCTCTGGCCCT